TCACTCTAGATTAAACAGATACAAGAATTACCTTCTATTAGTAAGATACAAGTTGTTGTTAAACTCAGCGCTGTGCTCATCGATGCCATCGAATAAATCTCTAAACAGAGCAAAACGAAGCCATTGATGAACTCAGTGCTGAATTTAATATAGTGTAAGGAATCTACCCAAGACAATCACTCAATTTACAGGTTAGTAGTAAAGTGGCTTAATAATACAGTGCGGTCATACGAATATGGCGACCATATTGGATCGGCGGGAAACTAACATTTGAATAGTCTCTCCTTGTTATTTCAATTTAAAAAGTAATAATTGGATCAAACTATTAACTAGAATGGTTTGGAGGTTAGAATTGAAGTTGAGCAAGCTGAATGAAGCATATGAATCACATATAACACGCGAAAATAAATAATAAAATCAAAAAAACAATATTTTGTTTTTTCTATTTAACTTCTTTTAAAATATATTAAAATAAACTTCGATATATTGCGATATACATTTTATTCATCTGATTCTTTCATTGGAAAATTTCACAAACAAATTTATATAATCATTGAAACATTAAACAAAAACTGAGTGAAAATTTACTTTCATTGGAAAGCCAGAAACGTAATTCTAAGTCAGCAACTATGAAACTATTTTTATTTTTCTTCTTAATATTATCCTTTGAAAAAAACAAAACTTTAAATAAATGTAGATTCATTAAATATAAATTTAATAAATATAAATTACTTAATGTAAAAATAATAAATATAGTTTATTAATTTTTCTTTGTTACTTGTGACTGAATACCACAACTAGCGTTACCCAAATGCGTGACCATGACCACGGCACTTGGCCTTGCACATTCAGTCTTGGTCTAGCGCAAGTCTCGCAACAGTCTTCCAGTTGCCTATTAGCTCATTATTATACAGATATTACTGTAATTTTTCAGATATTTTCTAACTAAGCCCGAATGAAAAATTGAGAGTTAAATTCCTAAGGATATTGGTCATAACAATTCTTTACATATGGTGACTAAATTTGTCAAGTTTTAGTGACTATTTTACCTTAATTTTTATTCATAAAAAGGATTTTTTTTACCTGTCTTGGTTTTGGTCTTGCAACAATCGGCGGCCTTAGTCTTGGTCTTGCAAAGTGCACGACCAAGACCGATTTTGGACAACACTATTTGTTATAAATCCAATATTAATACAAATTTAAATAGTTCAAAATTTGATCGTCCATTAATAGAATCATTTCTGATCAATGGTATCAAAAAATTTGTACGAAATTGTTTACCTCTTACATAATGTAGATATTGTATAATTCATCTACCGTAGAAAACATTTGTTCATTTTACTTTTAATCCTGTTAAAGGTGGTAAGAGAGTATTTGTTTCGGAGTGGTATAACTTAGTTTTTGTATAATTTGAAGATTTCTATTTACAAATCAATACCGATATACCTGTTATCAATGAAATGGATTGATAATCATAGTATGATAAATTGTAATAATGTTCCTCACACCTGTATTTTCCATTAGTCAAGAATCTAAGCTTTCCCTTGTTTTATTTATTTTTCATTACTTTTTTGGGAAATTAGAGATTGTTGGCTATAGTTTATTTTCAATTTTATCACACTGGATTTACCATGTAAAAATAACTAATAGTGAAACATAAAACTGTAAGGATAAAATAGAATCAATTATCAATTGATTGAATAACTATCCAATTTAACTTGAAAAAGAAAACATTTTTAATCAACGAAGGAATATAAAAAAAAAAAGATAAAACAGAGAATATTTATTTATTTACAAAGAAATTTAAATTTATAAATGCTGCACATATACATTTACAGATTTACTGCTAGAAACAGACATATGAGGAAAATTCTTTTTACTAATTGAATTTACCCTAATTCTAAATACAATAAGTCTCTTAAGAATACTATCTTTAGTATTGTGACAATTAATTATGTGTTCTTCATCAACATAACTCATTTTTCTCTGTGAAAAAAACCTCTTAAATCACCTCTTACTGAGATGATTTGGCTCATATAGGTTTCGAAAATGACCTAATCCTTTAATTTGTTACTTTATTTTATTGATTTTCCATTGTAATTCAGTGGTTATGAAAGAAAAAGATGAAAATTAAGTAAAAACTACCAATTAATAAATTAAATCTATCACTTAAACAACAAAATTAAGCTTCTGAACTGAACTATTGCTAATAAAATATGAAAATTTAACAGTTTTGAGGTGGCTATAGAACAAACAGGTAGCAAGAGACGATCCAAGATGGCCAACCAATCAAAAAGTGACTCCATATAAACCCGCTGTATTATTAAGCCATTGTAGTTAGTAGGTGCAGACAGCGATCCCGACGGAAAAACAAGGAAACACTGAGTCTGTTTAATTTAAACAGCTTTCCGAAACAGCTACAGAAGCTATTTAATTAAAACAGATACAGAAACCTGTTTAATTTAAACAGCTACAGAAGCTGTTTTATTTAAACAGATACAGAAACCTGTTTAATTTAAACAGCTACAGAAGCTGTTTTATTTAAACAGATACAGAAACCTGTTTAATTTAAACAGCTACAGAAGCTGTTTTATTTAAACAGATACAGAAACCTGTTTAATTTAAACAGCTACAGAAGCTGTTTTATTTAAACAGATACAAAAACCTGTTTAATTTAAACAGCTACAGAAGCTGTTTTATTTAAACAGATACAGAAACCTGTTTCATTTAAACAGTTTTCCGAAACAGTCACAGGAACTGTTTAATTTCAACAGATACAGAAATCTGTTTCATTTAAACAGCTACAGAAGCTGTTTTATTTAAACAGATACAGAAACCTGTTTAATTTAAACAGCTACAGAAGCTCTTTTATTTTAACAGATACAGAAACCTGTTTAATTTAAACAGCTACAGAAGCTGTTTTATTTAAACAGATACAGAAACCTGTTTCATTTAAACAGTTTTCCGAAACAGCCACAGGAACTGTTTAATTTCAACAGATACAGAAATCTGTTTCATTTAAACAGATTTCCTAATCAGCTACAGAAACTATTTAATTTAAAAATATACAGAAACTTGTTTCATTTAAATAGCTTTCCGAAACAGCCACAGAAGCTCTTTTATTTAAACCGATACAGAAACCTGTTTCACTTAACAGCTTTCCGAAACAGATACAGAAGCTGGTTAATTTAAACAGATACAGAAACCTGTTTCATTTAAATAGATACAGAAACCTGTTTCATTTAAACAGATACAGAAACCGTTTTCATTTAAATAGCTTACCGAAACACCCACAGAAGCTGTTTAATTTAATCAGATACAGAAACTTGTTTCATTTAAACAACTTTCCGAAACAGCCACAGAAGCTGGTTAATTTAAACAGATACAGAAATCTGTTTTATTTAAACACCTTTCCGAAACAGCTACAGAAAATGTTTAATTTAAACAGATACAGAAACTTGTTCCATTTAAACAGATTTCCGAAACAGCTACAGAAGCTGGTTAATTTAAACAGATACAGAAACCTGTTTCATTTAAACAGATATAGAAACCTGTTTCATTTAAATACCTTTCCGAAACAGCCACAGAAGCTGGTTAATTTAAAGAGATACAGAAACCTGTTCCATTTAAACAAATACAGACACTTGTTTCACTTAAAGAGCTTTCCAAAACAGCTACAGACGGTGTTAATTTAAACAGTTACAGAAACCTGTTTCATTTAAACAGCATTCTGAAACAGGCCCGTTGTTTATATGAACATTTTTGTAGCTCTTAAGGTGTGCTAAAAAACTGCTTGGTTTAATTGGAAGGCAGTGGCATGCAATAGAGAGAACTGGCAATCCTTGTTGAAGCAGGTTTTGACTCACCAAGTGGGTCGTGATGCCATAAGAAGATAGTGATGTGATAAGAAGAACAATGAATTTAACGACTGACTCTCAAAGACATGGAAATGGAATCAATTCCAGGTTCATTAATGTTTGGAAATATCGTAAAATACTTATAGATATTTTAAATATATTTTTATACATTTTTAGCACAGCTACGACTTTTTCTTTAATTTCAGAAGTTTTAAGATACTTGAAATATTCTATTGACTATTAGTGGAAATAGTCTGACTTTGTAAAAATAATTTATTCTAAAACATTTAAAATGACATTTTAGGTATTAAAAAAAAAAAAAAAAAAAAAGGCTTCTCAAACTGTATAAAATATTTACGATTCTATTAATTAATGAAATATATTCCTTCGGTACTCAGTGTATCTATCACTATCAACTAGAAGTTCTACAGTGTATGCTACTTGACCTTTTATTGTGACAGATTGTAAGAGCTTATGACATGTCTCCTTATTTCAAGACGGTACTTGGCACATACTAGCATAAACAATTCAATTTATTTAATCAATAATGATTTACACTATTAAAATGTTAACAAAAAAATATATCACTTATTTACCAAATCCATTTATCTCGTAATAGCGATATTATTCTGGTTTGTGCGCAATTATTATTATCTTCTCAAAATTTAGAACTGGTGTAATTCAGGGACTGATTCTTGCACCCATTTTATTCATTATGTACGGTGGATTATCCTGGGGATTTAAATTAATCAAAAGATTCTATGCATGGGTTATATTTACCTCTTTGCCCAATTATCTTCAAAAGTACAATATTTAAAACCAATTCATAAGGAGACAAATAAGAGTATCAGGTCGGTAAATTCTGATGAAAAGAAAACACGATCTGTATCTTGGCATCCATGAGAATAGACGAAATTAATCCAATCGGTTTTCATAGTGAGGTTCACGGACTCAACCGTAAATCCGGATAAATATATTTAAAAAAAATATTAATCGAACCTTGATCACCTAACAAAAATTGGTCGAGGTAGACGAACACTCGAGTATTGTTAAACACAGGTGTTCATTCGGTGGAGTGTTTACCGTCTGAAATCACCATCTTACCAATGGGATTAACAACATAAGGTCCCCTCTTTGTAGATTATGGTTACAATACTCAAAAGCTCAGTTGTGTGGTCAGAGAACGTTTATGTCCGTTCAACGATGGGATTTCTGTTGGGAATTGTTATTGCTGTTGCGCTTGCTTCAGTTGTGGGAAGATCAGCCGCCTCTATCGTATGTAATATTATGTTATGCAATGTAATAATTAAACAAATAAGATTACAAGGTTATTTTATAGTAATTACTCGTTTTTTATCAGTGACATAAAAAAAATGAGAGAAGTGTTTTTGGAAATTTCTATTAATTAAAAATAGCTTTTTATTTTAATTAATATTTTTAACGAGCTATGTAGTTACAATTCTCTCGATCCTGAAACGTGTCTTACATTCAAAGTCCACATAAAGAAATTGAGATGTGTTAGTCAATTAAGAGTTGCAAACCCAGAACACATCAGAATCCATGCAAAAAACAGAACATTTTCGATTGAGTCTCAAGAAACCTGTATTTCATGCAGCCAATTTATCTACAATAGTCTACATCATATTCTCCTTCACTGCCCAGCATACAATGACTATAGGCAAAAATTCCTTCAAAACTTCATCTCAGAATCTTCTGATAACCGCAACGTCGATTCCATACTGAATATCGATTGTATAGATAAATTAAATAAAGTTTACTATTTTATGATGGGAGTTCACAAAGTGCATACACTGAATTGTTGATCATAGCCATGTTCTATTAAGCGTTTGTTTTTAGTTTATCTTAAAAGTAATATTTTGTTTATATTTATAAATATTTTTATTTTGTATTGTTTCTATCATAGTGACTGGTTCATATAACCAATATTATGCAGTAATCGTTTTATGTTTTTAATTTTTATTGCTATTCATGTTTTGTGAAAACCATTCTAAACGTTAAATATTGTAAATTTTATTTATATTTGAATTATATGTATGTAAATTTGTAAAACCATCTTATTGTACAATAACCAAGCTAGGCTCTATTTGTATGGGGAACCCCCTTAAAACAAATAAAATATCTATCAATCTATCTATCTATTTAATATTTTTAACGTCGATTTATAGCACAAAATCACTAAATAAATTTTTCATTTGTCAATCATTTAAGTCCGTTTTTGTAAATTTTTATTTTATCCAAATCCGCAAATAAATGAATTAAAATTAGATAAACTCATAATGTTAAAATAACACTAAAAATTCATCATAATACCTCATTTAATTTAAAAACTTTTTGCAATAAACCGACTATATCATTAGTTTTTTAAAAAATTAAATTAGTTCCAAATATTAAAAAACTTGTTTTATTTCGTAAAAAATCACTATCAAAAAAACGTTAACCAACATCATGATTTCAATAATAATTTTTGCTCTTACAAAATGAATATATTTGTAACATTAGGTATATATTTTTTTAAATTTAAATTTAATTTTATTTAGAATAAGAACAATAATAAATAAGCAAAAGAAGTTGTTTTTTAATGTTTGTTGAGAAACTATCCAATAATACCATGACAATGATTAGTCTGCTTCAGAAAGTCTTCCACTATCTTTCTTCAAGATATCGAACACTTATCGAGTAATGAACTGATAAGTTTGTGCGATTACAGATATTTCATTGAAGCAAGTATATCAGGCAAAATAAAAGTAGAGAAATATTAATAGCTCGCTGTTTTTTTATTATTTTTTTTTCTTACATTATAAGGATCATTGACGGTTGTACCATGGATTTTGGATTGTTAGGGTACAAGGGAGGTGCTCGTCCTTACTATAGCCATGCGAATTATGTAATAAAACGAAGGTTATAAATACTGTTAGTTTAACGTTGAAGTAGTTAGGACCTGAATTTGTTTTTGTGTTTAAATCGTGAGAAATCTATAACTATCTAACGTTAGCTTCTTGTTGTATCATATCAAAAGGAAGTTTCGGATTTCTCAATATCATGCCAAAAAAAAAAAAAAAAATCAATAGCCAGTAAATCTCACATTTTTGAAATATCACATCCACAGAATACTGACGTTTCTGAGACAAATCTGACTCTATTTCACTTATGTGTGCTCATCAGATGAATTCCACTTGAATATGTGAAAGGAAAATAAATTTGGATTACGCCTCTGGTAGTAATCTTCGAGGCTGACTAAGTTATACCTGGAATACCAGTTATGGTAATGTAAAAGTAAATATCTCTGCAAAACCAGGAACCTGTCAAGAAACAGAGAGTAGAGTAGTAACCAGGTCACCCTGGTAAGACAAAAAAAAAAAAAAAAAAAAGACGAAATCTGCCAGTAAGGACTCAACAGGGAACCAAACTCCTTATTCATCTTTTAATTCTTTGTGCACTCAACAGAGAACGAGTCCTTACTGCCAGATTTCTTGTTGTTTTTTTACTCTATTGGATCTTTTGGCCTTGGGGAGTGTCTGAACAGGATTGCCACTAATCTCTGTTTTTTGACAGGTTCCTGGTTTTGCAGAGATATTTACATTTACTTTACCATAACTGGTAGACGTATTCTAGGTATAGAATATTCTTAGTCGGCCTCGAAGATTACCACCAAAGGCGTAATACTAATTTATTTTCCTTTCACATGTTCAAGTGAAATTCATCTGCTGAGCACACATTAGTGAAATGACTCTATTTCACTAAGTTATACCTGGAATACCAGTTATGGTAAAGTAAAAGTAAATATCTCTACAAAACCAGGAACCTGTCAAGAAACAGAGAGTAGATCAGTAGTAACCAGGCCATCCTGGTAAGACAAAAAAAAAAAAGAAGAAATCTGCCAGTAAGGACTCAAACTCCTTATTCATCTTTTAATTCTTTGTGCACTCAACAGAGAACGAGTCCTTACTGCCAGATTTCTTGTTGTTTTTTTACTCTATTGGATCTTTTGGCCTTGGGGAGTGTCTGAACAGGATTGCCACTAATCTCTGTTTTTTGACAGGTTCCTGGTTTTGCAGAGATATTTACATTTACTTTACCATAACTGGTAGACGTATTCTAGGTATAGAATATTCTTAGTCGGCCTCGAAGATTACCACCAAAGGCGTAATACTAATTTATTTTCCTTTCACATGTTCAAGTGAAATTCATCTGCTGAGCACACATTAGTGAAATGACTCTATTTCACTAAGTTATACCTGGAATACCAGTTATGGTAAAGTAAAAGTAAATATCTCTACAAAACCAGGAACCTGTCAAGAAACAGAGAGTAGATCAGTAGTAACCAGGCCATCCTGGTAAGACAAAAAAAAAAAAGAAGAAATCTGCCAGTAAGGACTCAAACTCCTTATTCATCTTTTAATTCTTTGTGCACTCAACAGAGAACGAGTCCTTACTGGCAGATTTCTTGTTGTTTTTTTACTCTATTTGAACTTTTGGCCTTGGGGAGTATCTAACCAGGATTGCCACTAATCTCTGTTTCTTGACAGGTTCCTGGTTTTGCAGAGATATTTACATTTACTTTACCATAACTGGTAGACGTATTCCAGGTATAGCTTAGTCGGCCTCGAAGATTACCACCAAAGGCGTAATACTAATTTATTTTCCTTTCACATGTTCAAGTGAAATTCATCTGCTGAGCACACATTAGTGAAATAGAGTCAGATTTGTATAAGAAATCTCGTTAGACACTCCCCAAGGCCGAAAGAGCCGATAGGGTAAAAAAAAAGAGAAATCTGCCACTAAGGACTCAACAGAGAACCAAACTCCTTATTCAACTTTTACTTCTTCGTGTACTCTTTTTAACTATCTGACGTATAATATAGTAGGATTAAATTTGGATATCCATATTGAATATATATAAATTTGGATATCCGTCTGTTGCAATAATACAGGTTAAACAATATAACCCTTCTCACATAAAAATATTACCCTTCTCACATGACTCAATTTTTACGACTCAATTCAAAGAAAATAACTTAGTAAATAGCTTATGTTGGAAGTGATTGCCTTACCGGTCGTGAATTTGACAACTGTGAAACTCACAACTGCTATCCGACGATCACTTAAAGGATGGCACTTAAGGGTGTTCATATCTCATTTTTGGTGAGTGCATCAGTATATCACACCATTTCAAACATAGTATAGATTTACATACCTGTATTACTTTCATTTACGTATATATGTAATATATAGTTAGGGTAAGTATTGCGATCGAGAAAATTTTTGAATCTGGGTTTTCAACGGAAAAAGACGTTTTGAGGTACCCAGAGTCGAAATGACCAAGTCCCGAAAAATGGTCTGTGTGTCTGTATGTCTATGTGTCTGTGTGTTTGTATGTTAGCAGTCTAGCTCAAAAACGAAAAGTCCTACGAAACTGATATTACGTATGTAAGATAGGTATATGCCTTGTTGTCCGGAATTGGAAGGCGGCAGCGCGGAACATGGACGACCATGGGTCACACACAGATGCAAGAGGCCTTGTTTCCATGCGAGACGTAGCGCCAGAAAGAAAACAAGCAACTATTGGTCTTCCAGCCATGTTTTCACTGCCTCACCAACCGAATCCAAAAAAAAAATAATTATAACTTTCATTTTTACTTTCAGTTACGTATATATGTAATATATAGTGTGTAACTATTGCGATCGTGAAAATTTTCGAATCTCAGTTTTCAACGGAAATACATGTTTTGAGGTCCCCGGAGTTCAATTAACCAAGTGTCGCAAAATGGTCTGTGTGTGTGTTAACAGTCTAGCTCATAAACGAAAAGTAGTACGAAACTGATATTAAGTATTTAAGGTTCGTATATGGGTCGGATGTGACTGCAACTTTTTCCTTAAAATCGACTAACCGGAAGTGCCACTTTATATCAACGCTGAAACACATGTTCGCAATTTTCCCAAAAACGGCTCTAACGATTTTGATTAAACTCGCTGTGCCATTGTATAATTACGTGGTCTTTAATATAAATTAGGTCTTATCCCCATTGATGTCACTTTACAGGGCTTAAATGCCCAATGTTCATATACGTCTTCCTCTAAAGTACCTTTAATATGGTTTATTTAAAAAAGTTAATCAATTCGCATTATTTAGAATTACAAAAAAATGCTACATATAACTTTTGAAAGAATTTGATGAGTTAATGAAAGAGAAAAAAAAATGCAGAAAAACCTGCGTTGCAATAGACTGTAGCGCCAGAACGAATTTACCGATTTCA